GTGACGGCGCTGTCAAAACTGGCACACAAAATTCTGGCAGCGGTGATGGAACTGTCCCCAGATGCTGCACCCAGAGGGCCACGGTGTCACCCAGCCACGGTGTCACCCAGCCACGGTGTCACCCAGCCACGGTGGCGTCAGGGCAGGGGATGGGGAGGGCTGTGGCAGCAGTGAGTGGCTTCCTCCATGCAGCGGGTACCTGCAACAGCCAGAGCAGAGCGAGTTGTTTTGGAGCAAAGATACCACTTCCTTCCTCCGCTTGGCCTCACTGGGGGGATGGGAGGCAGCTCCTGGCTTTAGGAATCAGCCACACAGCTGCTGCAGAAAGCAGCAAGAGCAGCCCTGGGGCCAGAGGGAGCAGGCTTGGATCCATCCCCCGACCTGGCTTGTGCAGCTGGGATGGGGTGATCTTTTCCCCCAGTTCACTTTCTATGGGTGGAAGCAGATTAGCACACAGAAAACACCGGTGAGGAAATCAAATAAAAGTCAAATCACCCTACAAGCAGCCCCATCAGAAGCCGTGGGACGAGGGGTGCACCACATTCCTCCTGAGCATCCCAAAACCCCCTACCCCCGGGTCTGGCTCACCCCCAGCACTGCCCTGAGCACCAGCCTGTGCCCTCTGCCTTGCCAGCCCGGGCACCAAGAACAAAGCTTTGCCTTTTCCAGCCACTGCTGCCAAGGCCGGGGCTGGGAAAGGCTCCCCCAGCCCAGCAGAGCCGCGGTGCTGCCAAGGAGTTCCACCTTTGAGCTGCAGCTCTTTGCCCTCTCGCCCCTGGGTGCTATCGTGGGCACGTGGCAGTGCTGCAGTGGGTCAAGGATGTCGTGAATAAATGAGGCAGCCCGCAGGAGGAGGAGGCTGGGGGTGTGTGGAGAAAGGAGTCACTTAAGTGCTTAAATTTTGGCTGGAAAGACCGAATTCTAGCTGGATTTCTAGTTCAGTCTCACTCAGGACTTTCCCGACACCACAACGTGCCTTGCAAAGCAGTTCCGCGGGTCACCTTCCCTCTAATCACTTCTGCAGGTCACCTTCCCTTCCAGCAGCACACTCAGGAAATCCGGGCATTTTAACCCCTTCCTTCCTGGGCAGACATAGGATAAGCCACCCAGGGGCTGGCACACACCAGGGTGGCAGCGTGGGGACACAGGACATGGCCTATGCATCCATGAAAGCCTGTGAGACCTCAGGACAGATTTCTGCTCCTCCCCTGAGCGCTGCTAGTGAGCCTGGGGAAACTGAGGCAGCGCTGAGAACCTCCCCAGGGGGTTTGCACCGCTCCCACCCATCCTGGTACCACGGAGGCTGCCAGACACCAGTGCCCCGTGCAGATGGGCTGTCCTCCAGGACCTGCCAAGGTCAGCACACAGGAGCCCCGGGGAGATGGGGCAGAGGCAGCTGCTCAGGCTGGGAGCATCTGCTGCAGCCTCAGCAGCCCCTGGCTCTGAGAAAAGCCCATCTCTCAGCTTGGTTCCCACTGGACATGATGCCAGGGGCAGCGTGCTGCCTGGGAAAGCTTTCCAGCCCCTACGCTTTGGCAGGGAGGCTCAGAGGAGGCAGAACAAGAAGCCTTGTGTTACAGTTTCCTACAGAAAATATTATCCTGCCAGCACTCGGGCACACTCAAACCCCCTTGACAACTGCAAGCAAGGTCAGAAACTCCTCGGAAAACTCAGTTCCTGCAGGCTGGATACAAAACCCCAGCTCTCAGCCCACAAAGGCCAGCAGCAGTGCAGGAGGGCACAGCCTGTGCCAGGCTGCCTCTGGCTCTGCTCCTTCCATCAAAGCCTTTTGCATTTCTTCCCTTAACGCTGTTCCTGCAAGCAGGGGGGAGGAGGGGGGTTGCAGCCAGCCCTGACTCATCTGTGTCAGCTTTGGTTGGCTGCAGAAATGTCTGTGGGGACATCACCCGGGTCCCAGACACGGGGAGCACCCCTGGAGCAGGGACACCCCATCCCGCCTGGCGGGTCAGGGTCTCCCTCCTGCCCTTGCAGGAGAAGGAGCCTCTTGGGAGAAGGTGGGGGAAGCTGCTTGGGAGCTCATGTGGCTCCCAGGCACATGGAAATAGGGTGGGAAAGGACATCCAGAGATGATGAAAGCTGGGAGCATTTTCAGCAGATTGCCTTGTTGCCGCTGTGCTGGCTCCCAGCATGGATGGGCTGTCCCAGTTTGGGATCCAGGCTAACAGCATGGATGGGCTGTCCTGGATTTGGGATCCAGGCTGCCAGCATGGACAGGCTGTCCTGGGTTTGGGATCCAGGCTCCCAGCATGGATGGGCTGTCCCAGTTTGGGATCCAGGCTCCCAGCATGGATGGGTGATTCTGGGTTTGGGATCCAGGCTCCCAGCATGGATGGGCTGTCCTGGGTTTGGGATCCAGGCTCCCAGCATGGATGGGCTGTCCTGGGTTTGGGGTCCAGCCTGGACACCACAGGCCAGGCTGCCGAGGTGAGCTGAACCCCAGAAGAACCCCTCCAGTGAAAGTCAGGACCGAGGGCTTCACCCAACAGCTTGGCCAAAGCCTTTGCTTTCAACCAGCAGCTGAACTGGGAGGGTGTCAGGAAGGGATGAAGGCACTGGAAACTCTTGTAAATGTTTTTGTGCTCAGGAGAAACATCCTGGGTGTAGGACTGGGCAGGGAGACCACCCTGGCCAAAGCCACGGAAACTGGCCTTGATTTGGGTGGGTTTGAATCCTTGGAGGGAGGGAAAGTCCCTGTGAGCTCCTCTGGTCTGAGGCAGGGATGGGGGTGCATGAGCACACCCCAGCTTTGCAAGGCCCCAGCATGGAGCTCTGGGTGGGTTTGAATCCTTGGAGGGAGGAAAAATCCCTGTGAGCTCCTCTGGTCTGAGGCAGGGATGGGGGTGCATGAGCACACCCCAGCTTTGCAAGGCCCCAGCATGGAGCTCTGGGGGGAAGGGCTGAGGAGGGGGGACAAAGCTGGGTTAGGCTTTGCTGGGGATCCACACCCCACAGCCTGGCCACATCCTGGGCACAGACAGCACTTGGGGAGGAGCAAACCTGCCCCCCCATTTTTGCTGCTCAGCCTGTACCCCTGCCCAACTCCAGCCTAAGGAAGGACCTGCCTCTTGCAGCTGAATTTTGTTAAGAAGAGGAAGTCTGGTCTCGGCCAGGTTTCACACCCTACATCATTTTCCTCTTCCTACTTCTCCTTTACCCCAAAGCACATCTGTGGCAAAGACATCACCCTGAAGATGCACAGAGCATCCCTCAGGGATCTCAGCAAAGCTCTTCCCCATCCTGCTCATCACTGGGAGCACCGGTGGAGGGGGAGAAGCAGAGGGGATCTCTTTCCCCTTTGTCCCCAGGGCAGCAGAGCTCAGCAGCTGGAGGGGGAAAGCAGCGGGGATGGAGCAGGGGGGACACCGCTGCCCCGGGGAAAGGCTGTGGGGAGGGGTCAGCCGGAGAAAAAGCGTCCCGGGGACAAGCAGGACACGGGGCAGGGGGGCTGAGCCCACCCCAGCACGGCAGAATCAGCGCTCGGGATGCTGGCACCGAGCGGGGGGACACACGGGACCGGGGGGACAGCAGAGCCCTGACCTCCCCACGCCCAGGGATGCTCTGCCCATCCTCACCCTCCACTCACCTCCACAGCCCGTCGCAGGGGGAAACTGAGGCACGGAGCGGGGCGTGGGGAGGGACCGGAGCTGGAGATAGCGAGCAGGAAACGAGCTCCGGCTCTGCGGGCAGCAGCTGCCGGCCCGGCCCTCCTCTCCTTTGCCCTCCCCTCCTCGGCCTTCCCCTCCCCTCCCCTCCCATCCCCTCCCCGACCCTCCCCCGCCGCCCCCGGGCCACTTTGTGCCGCTGCAGATGTTTGGCACGGCAGGACGAGCTCACAGCGCGACCCCAGCTGAGCTTTTTTTTTTGTCTTTTAGGGTGAGAAACCAGACTTTTCGCCAAGCAAGCAGAAAGACTCGGGTGATGAAGCCAAAGAGCCGCTGTGCTGCTCCCCCCGCAGCCAGAAAGCGGCGGGGAGGGTGATGGGGACACCGGAGGGTCCGGGGTGGGGACCCACCCGGTGCCAGCTCCGCGTGGAAACTTCTGGGATTCCCTTTCCATTTGGTGTGGGAACGGTCCCAGAGGGGTGAAGGTACCTTGGGGCGGGCGGGGGAGCCGAAGATCGCTGCTGGCCGGGTGTTTTTTGGGGTTTCTGGTGGCGGTGTCCTCGGGGTGCTGCTGGGACGGGTGTCGCGACAAGGGGACCGTGACGCACGGGGACAACTTGCCACGAGCCTGTGCACGGTGACTCAGGGACACGGGGCGAGCCGGCAAAGGGGCGTTGGTCGTGTCGGTCACCCTGAGTCACCCGTGGCACTGCCACTGTCATCCCCGCACCTCCATCCCTGCCCTCCGCATCCCCTTCCTGGGCATCCTGGTGCAGAACCCCCCCCACGGCAGCTCGGCCGGGCTGTGCTGCTCCCTGCGAAGTGGGTCCGGGTACAGCGGGACCCACCCGAGTTTTGGGGCCACAGGAGGCTGGGCGGACACGGAAACGTCTGTGTCAAAGCCTTTCCCGGGCGGTCGGGAACAGCTCCCTCTGTTTGTGAGCGCTCCGTGGTGCCTGCGAAAGGCTCGACCTGCGCCTTCCAGCCCCAGCGATGTCCCCCGGCAGCAGCAAAGGGCATTAGGTGTGAGTGACAGCATCTGGTGGCACTGAGGGACGTGGCTCTAAAGAAACCCACGGCCATGGGCAGCCCGAGCTGTCCCCGGAGCACCCCTGGGTGTGCTGAGAACAGGCGACTCACAGCATCACTGAGAGCTGCTGCAGCTCCCTGAACCCTTCACGCTTAGATGGAGGTGCCAGCCATGCCCTGGACCCTACCACAGATGCTGCCTTCAATCCTAGCCCCTGCTCCATCATTACAATTCCCCCATCTTTCCTCCCATTTTATTATTCTAGTGTTTTGGTGTTTTAGGAGGTGGGGAAGGAGCAGAGATGCCTCTCAGCCCCCCTCCCTGCTCCAGCTAGGCCTTGGATGATGCTGCAGACTGCAGCCGCTGCAGCTCCAGGACACGGATGAGGAGGAGGAAGGTGATGCTCAGGAGAAGCAGCCAGAAGAAAACCCAGTAGTGCTGTGGGAAGAAGAGCCAGGGACGCCACAGCTCCGCTGCAGACCCCTTGGACCTGGGGAGAAGGTGACCAGGGACACTGTCATCCATGGGGGAGAGCAAAGCCCACCTCCACCCCGTCTGGGGACAAGGAGGATGTTTAACTCAGCCCCAAACCTCACTGGCCCTTTTACAAACCCAAGTGACCAAGCCTGAGGAGGGCATGGGCAGCCCAAAATGTGTTTGCAAAGCTGAGACAGCCAAAAAACATCCCAGCTTTTCACCACTACATCCCCCAGCCCCCTGCCCAAGTGCTGGCCACCCGGGGACCTCAGAGAGCCCTGGGGGCATGCTGGGCACACGCAGGGTGCTGCTCACGTCAGCCCAAGCTGTTCTGGCTCCTCCTTCCCTGTGTTTGAGCCTCTGCCCTCTGCCTCTGCCACCAGCTTCCCGGTCACGGCGCTGTCCTGGCCCTGTGGCTCCAGCTCAGTCCTGGGGAGGGAGAGGAGGGGGTCGGTGCTGTCCCACACGGGCCAGTGGCAGCTGGTGGCACTCTGCCCGGCCACCCAGCGCAGTTACCTCTGGCTGCTGGGCCAGCACTGGGCCCCCTCTGGCTCCAGGGCACCTGCTGGGGCTGCTCGGCTCTCAGGGCTGGCACCTGGCTGGGCACCGAAGGTGGGAGCATCAGTGGGGACACGGAGCCCCAGTGGCACCGAGGCTGGGGACACGGAGCCCCAGTGGCACCGGGCTGGGGACACAGAGCCCTGGTGGCACCGAGGCTGGGGACACGGAGCCCCGGTGGCACCGGGCTGGGGACACGCTCCTGGCTGTCCCCAGCAGCCACGTCCTTACCAAGAGCTGCCTGGGGATGACGGCGATGCTGACCCTGCGGCGGGCAGACCCCTGCAACAGAGGGGCTGAGGTGAGCCTGTGCTGCTGCTTCTCACCTCCTCCTGGCCCAGCACCTCCCCAGCATGGGCAGGGGACACCAGGGGACACTGCCAGCTCCCACTGGAGCTCAGAAGCCAGGGCAGGTCCAAGCCAAGAGGTTTGTGCTGTCATTGCTGCTGCAAGCTGGCCTGGTAGGGCTGCCTGACCCTCTCCCCTGCCTCTGGAGCTATAGGGGGATCAGTGTCGGATTCAAGCTGGTGCTAAAGAACAGCCAAGCCTGTGGCTCTTGCAGTGAGCCTGCAGTGAAAGAAGGATCTGCCTAAGATCTCTTGCAGCTTGCTGGGCGTCCTGTCCTTCTACCAACAGCCCTCCAAGGCTGTCCCGAAATTTTGCCTCATCTCTGGCATTTCCAGCAGATCTTCCCTGCAGCAAGCAGCTGGCTGCAGTGACATTTTTTGGGGACAAGTGGGTGTGTGGGGACAGCCTATTGAGGGAGGGCAGCAGGGCATGGGGAGGCAGTGGCTCCAAGACTCCTGAACTGGGACCAGTTACCTGCTGGAAAGTTCTCTTCAGGGGGTGAGGTCTCAGCCGTGGCTCCACATCATCTGGGAGCAAAGAGAATCTGCCTTACATCATCCCCCAGCACCCAGATGGGGGATGCAGACAGTCACAAAGGTCCCGAAATCTGTCCTGGCCACGTGCTGTGCTTGGCACAGGCGGTGCCCCGGGCAGGGGGACCTGGTCCTGTGCACACAGTGGCACGTGTGGGGTTTGGTGTTCAGGAACAGAGTCCTTTTTGTGCATGGGCCCCCCTGCCCTGCATTCCCAGCTGGGTTATGGCTCTCTGGCCGCCAGCACCTGCTCCCACACTGATCTGCAGTTCCACTGTCCCCTCACAACTGCCATCAGCTGTCCCCTTCCCCAGTGCCAGTCCTCATCTCACACCAGCCACCGGCTCTGCGTGCAGGGTCACGCCAACCCCCCAGAGGGGCTCAGGACCAAATCCTGCAGGGTTGCTCCGTGCCAGCCCTGCCCAGGCCCCGTGGCAGAGCCCACCTCACCCTGGGTCTCTGCCAGCTGCCGGTTGCGGGAGTTCTGCTGGATCAGGCGCTTCATCTCCTCCAGCTCCGCGTGCTCCCGCGCCTGCTGCCGCTTCAGCTTCTCCACGTGCTGCACCATCACCTCTGCTGCCCGGCTCATCCGTGCCTCCTGCAGCCAGGCGGGATGGGGGGTCAGGGCTCTGCCTCCCGAGGAGCAGCTCTGTGCCAGCCCCTCACTGTGCCCCCCACGGGCACTGCGGGGGCATCCCCTTCCCACTGCCAGGACAGGTGGGTGAACCCCCTGCGCCCCGGTGAGCACCACCAGGAGGTCACAGCCAGCACCGTGAGGAGGAGGGACAAACCCACAAAGCCCAGGGATGAGTCCTGCACACCTGGTGCACAGCCCCCAGCTTCTCTGCAGCGCTGGTTGCCCGCTCGATGCCCGCTGACAGCACGGCCAGGCTGTGCTGCAGCTGCTGCAGCATCTCCTTGCAGCCTGCATTGGTGCAGGATCGGCCCAGCCTCTGTGGGGAAAGGATGGAGCTGCTGGAGCTGGCACCTGGATGACCCCAGCACGTGCCAGCCCCCTGCCCTTGTGCCCACCTACCTCCAGGACAACCCGGCACTGCCCCAGCTCCTCCTGGATGTTTTCCTCTGCTGCGTCCCGTGCCCGTTTCTCCACCTGCACCCGTTGCTGCAGGGTGAACACGTCGCAGCGAAAAGCCAGGGCGAGGTGGGCAAAGGCTGCCTGCAGGGTGGGGAGGTGAGGGTGGGACACGGGGGCAGAAGGGAAACCACCAGGGCCGTGTGCTGCTGTCCCCAGGCACACACAGAGCTCCCAGCGTGCCACCAAACAGGCCAGTGCTGGAGATAATGAGCCCTTGCCTTGCCCCAGCCCCGTTAGGCTGCTGCATGCTGGGCACAGCCCCCTGAGATGCCAGCCTGGGACCCCAGGCAGCTGATAACACATGGAAATCTTGAGCCTTCCTGGCAAGGGCACATGCCAGGCAGATGCCCTGATGGCTGAGCCTGACTCAGCCCTGGCACTCGCAGGGAAATGATTTTTATTAGCGCTGCTCCCGCCGCCTCCCTGGCTGCAGAGCACTCTGTGGCATTGCTGGGCACGCAGAGGACAGGCTGCTGGAAATGCAGCTGCCTCCAAATGCCAAAAGCATCTCTGGGAAAGGGTTTAGGAGGTGGCTGCCAGGGGCCTGCGGTGCCTGAAGGAGCAGGGCACAGCCGTGGGACTGTGAGCCAGCAGTGTCCTCCTTGTGTCCCCTTTCCCCAGCCCACCCACGGCCCCCAGCAGCCCTCACCTCCAGATCCTGCTCGGTCAAAGCCGCCCTGCAGAAAGAGAAGTGCTGTCAGGGGTGGAGGCATCAGGGGGGCTGCATGCTGAAAATGCCCTTGCTCTGCTCCCAGGGGTGCCAGCCACGACGAGAAGCAGAAAGCCAAGTGCCCATTGTGTGGACAGCAGCTCTTGTGCAATGGGAAAGGAGGAAAGTCCAATCTCCGAGCCCTGCTGTGCCCTGGAGCCCCCTGTCCTGGAGCCCCCAGAGGGATCAGGTGCTCACTGGTCTTACCTGTGCAAACCAAGTCTGTCCAGCACTGAGAGCTCACTGGGGAGATTCAGCAGCGGCTCCTCCAGGGTTTCTGCATCTGCAGGAGGGCAGTGGGACCACGTGTGAGGGCTTTTCCTTGACCTTCCTCCTCCTTCTGCCCTCCTGTCTTAGCAGGGAGTGGGTGCCCCTGTTTTGGAACCATCCCAATCCTTCCCCAGCATCAGGGGGGCTTTAGCTCCTCCCAGGCCATCTCCCCTTCCCCATGTCCCCACCAGAGGAGATGACTCTCATCAGAACATGTCCCCATGCTCGTCCCCAGCTACTTCAAACCTTCCCCTAAGGGGACCCAGCTGGGACGTGGGATGGGGTCTCACCCACCTTGTTTAGTCCTGTCACTGTCCCCAGGGTGCACAGCCTGCTCCTGCACGGCCCTGCCTGGCTCCTGAGGGGCACAAAGTGCAGCTGGGGCAAACCTCTGCCTGGTGCTGCACAGCACCCCGAGAGGATCAGCCCAGAGGGGCTGGGGGGCCTGGCTGAGCCCGAGGAGGCAGGCAGGGAAGGGCCCCCTCACCCTCCCCTCCCTCTCACCCTCCCCTCCCTCTCACCTTGCTGACTTGCTCCACGCTCTGCTCACTCCTGGCCAAAACCCCACTTGGGTGTCCCTGGGGACTGCTCATCCTGCCTGGGGACAGAAAGGGTGCTGGGAGCTGGGCAGCAGGGACCCCTCCCCAGCCTGACCCCACTTCAGGAGAGACCCCCCAAACTGCCACTGGCACTTCTGCAGCCTGCAGGCTTCCCAAGGGACATCAGCTGGCAGGTACCCCCCAAAATATCCCTATGGGATAAAGGGAGCTGGAGCTAAACTGGACCAGGTCAGGGGGAGGAGAGCAATGGGTCCAGTGCAGAGGGTGGGTTGCAGCTGGTGAGGCAAATCCAGGGGATGAGTTGGGGTCCCAGGGCTGGAAGGGGTTGCAGGCAGGTGCTGCCAGGTCAGGGAACACCCTCCTGCTGCTCAGGGAGGGAAGGTGAAAAACCCACCCTTGTGACCCCATCCCCACCTGGGCTGCCCTTACCTTCACCCGGAGATGTGGTGAGCCCGGACAGCTCTGCCTGCTGCTCCCTGCGGAGGGAATCCCGGGTAAACCCTAAAGGAACTCAGGAAGCATCGGCAGCATCGCACCCCCCACGCTGCCCCAGCTCCCTCGGTGGGGCTGCTGCGGACCCGGGTCCTTCCTGAGCATCCTCCGTCCCCGTCCCCGTCCCTGTCCCCGTCCCCGTCCCGCTCTGCGAGCCGCCCCCTCGGCTCCTGCCGCCGCCGCAGAGCCCCACTGAGGCTCCACCGAAGCCGTTTCCAGCCAGCAATGAGTCACCAGCCACTGCCGTACTTTGCCTCAGCCTGGTCTTTTTTTATTTATTATTTTTTTTTATTTTGCTCCGGCTGCCAAGCGGACCTCGCTGCGAGCCGGCCTCTCCCAGCACCACAGCTCAGCCAGAGCCCAGGCAGGCACCATCTCACAGCACCCATGGGGATGGCAGGCGGCCCTAAAAGTGCACTGGGATATGTTTATCACCCCAAAGCCCTGTGCTGGGTGCCAGGAGGTCTGGCAGCTCTGTAGCATCCCTGCCCACTGATGCTGGAGGCCACCAGGTCACCAGTGCGTGGAGACACAGGAGCTGCTGTGCAAAGATCCCTCTACAACCCCACACCGGAGCCCATCATCCGACTGGGAGAGGGTTTGGACCCCCAAACTTTCCCCCTGGCTCTGGAAAGAGCTTCAGCAGAGCTCTTCCCTCTCCTCCTGGCGAGCCTGAGAGCAGCGGCTGCAGGAGAACGATGCTCAGCGTCTCTTGCCTGGCACTGCCACCACTGTCCCATCCTTGCGAGCAGCCCAGGAGCCGCTGGGGCAGCTTTTTGTGCTCCTACCTCCGAGGTGAGGGGCTGGCTGGGCAGTTCATCCTCTGCCGCTGCCGCCGCCGGCGCCCCTGGGCCGGTCCCTGCGCCGCATCCTCCGGTCCCTGTCCCGGCGAGGTCCCCTCGAGCGGCTTCATTTGGGAAGTGCCGAGGCTCCAGGAGCAGCACACCTATCGGGAGAGACCCACATTAGCCGCGCGCAGATGGAGAACGCCTCTAAATGTTATATTTTTAAAGTGTTTTCTCACCCAGCAGGAGCTTGGAGCTCCTCTGCTCAGCGTGGAGGCATCTGGGGGAAAAGAGGTGGGGAGCCCCGCTGCGATTCGGGAGGAATCTGCTGGATTTGGGCGGGCACGGAGCGAGGCAAATGAGAAATTCCATGCAAGAAGGTGGGCTTTCCTTCTTGCCACCCCCATTTCCTTCCCCCAGGGCAATCCTCATTTGGGGTTTGTGATGTGGGTCAGCTGCATGGGGGGAGGTCGATTTGCAGCCACCGACCGGTGTGAGCAGCCCCTGCTCTCCAGGCTGCAGACATGATCCCAGAGAGACAAATAGAAAAGATTTCCAATACAAGGGAGCTTGGACAACGCATTTAAGCTGTTTTACAATGTTTAAAGGAGCAGAGAAGGATGCAGGGAGCCCCAGCGTGAAGTCCCTGTGCACAAGGGACTGTCCCACGGCGACTCCTCACAGGCTGTGCCCATGGACATGCAGATTTAGGACAGAAGGAGAATTTTTTGTCCAGGACAGGAGAGATCTAGCGGGACAGAGTGCAAAGCCTTGGCCAAGCTCAGCCTAGCTCCAAGCAGGGCCAGCACTCAGCTCTGGGTGAAGGTGTAAAAAGCAGCACTTGGCACCAAAGGCAGCCCATTTCACACCTATACAGTGGGAAAATTGTGGCTGACACCTCCACCCAGGGGTTCAGGCGTCTCCTGCCAGCAGGGATCAGCATCAGAGCGCTCGGGAGGGTGCGGAGCGCTCAGTCCATCCCAGGTGCCGCAGCTCCTGCCGGCTGCTGCCTTCCCACAGCTCTGACAGCCTCGCAGACACTCTCTCCTTATCTTTGAGTACAGATGGAAAAGATTCGAGCCGCGCCGCTGCTTTAGCAGAAGGAACCCCCTGAGATGCCCGACCGGGCTTTCCCTCCACTCGGCGCTCCCCGGGACATCTTTACCTGCCTGAACTCCTCCCAAGCAGCCGAAGGCAGATGCTGGGGCCGCCCAGCTCGGAGCTCTCAGCCCTGCTGGTCCCCACCAGCCCGGGAGGGGCTCGGGGCCACGGTGTGACCGGAGCTCCGCGGCTCGGGGCGGCTGGCGGAGCTCCCCGCGGGGCAGAGCAGCAACCGGAGCTGCCGGGGCCGAGCCCGGGGAGAAAAGGCCTTTAAAGGAGATGCGAGAGAGCGGCTGGGAGCGGGCAGAGCGCTCTGGTCTGCAGGTGGCCAGGAAACCTCTGCTTTTGGTGCGGGGCCAGGTCCCGCAGCGCTCCGGGAGCGGGGAGGAGCGGGGATGCTCTCTCCGTGCCTGCGGGGCACAGTGGGCTCAGCCTCGGCATCTCCCGGGAGTCGGGAGAGATGGGGGATCCCCCCGGTGCTGTCATGGGGGGCCCTGCACCGGGCTAAACCCGCGTGGGTGATGAGGAGCCCCTGTAGCATCTCGTTGGGTGATGCAGAGAAGCCGCTCTGCCAACTCTCCCTTCCCTCCTGCCCTCTCAGCAGCCCCACCTGCCCCCCAGCCATCCCCCCACTGCCCCATCCCTGTGCCCAAATCCATCAGCGCATCCTCTAAAGCCGCTTTCTTCCCCTAAGGAGCTTACAGCCACTCGGGCTCCACCTTCAGCACTACCTGGGGGCAGCTGCTGTTCCCCCCATGCCCAGGGACCCTCTGGGGTCTGCAGCCCTGAGAGGGCCAACAGCATCTCCCAGTGCTGCTCTGGCCCACCTGCCGGAGTGCAGAATGCAGCCCCAGGAGTCACAAAACGGGGGGAACCCTTGCAGGGAGGAGCAGCAGCGGGCACCGGGCAGCACATCGGGCTCCTCTGCAAGCCCAGGGTGCTCCGTGGGGCACACAGAGCCCAGCACACACCCCACTGCTGCCTCTGTCCCCTCCCTCCCTCAGGGGACAGCTCACAAGAGGCAATGCCCCTGTTCACAAACCAAATCTCTAAAAGCATTTACTAAAAGCATGCAGGGATTTTTAGGGCATTGTTATTTTTTAAGCTGGGAGCAGCTAAATCGTGACTGCAATCTAGGTATCACAGAGCCTCAGGCAAGGAAAAGCAGCCCAGTTCCCCTCCCACAGACCTGTCCAGCAGGGAGGAACGAGACCCTGGGGGGAGATCTCCAGCCCAGGGGCGTGGGTGGCAGCATGTGGCTGTGCCTTTGTCCCCTGTCCTCCTTCCAGCAGGTCCCTCACGGCAGCAGCACCTCCCAGGGCATCTGAAGCTGAGCTAAACTTCATCTGGATTATTCACTTCTTGGAGGAAAGCTGCTCAGACTGACGCTGACTGCTGCCACTGATGTGGCAAGCGTGACTTACAGGTCTGTGCAACCACAAAACAGCAGCCCAGCCCTCCCTCAAATTCACCTTTCTGCAGCCCTGCCTTCCCTAGCTGACAGGAACCAAGAGAGAACACGATCCTTGTCTTATGATTAAAAGGTTATTGGCAAAAAAAAAACCCCAAAAAACACCAAACAGACAAGAAGGAAAATTGCTCTTCCTTTTTATTCAGTTTTAAATCCCAAGTGAAAAAAATAAATATTGCCAAGCCTCTCCCAGAGCAGTTCAGCCTCACATTTGGGTGTCACAGCCCCCAGGTTTGCAGGTAGAATTGCATCAGCATGTTGGGGATTACATATGAGATTAGTGGGCTGTCACTGGACATGCAGTTACCCCCAGGGAGAAGTGGGGTGACCCCTGGCACTGCTGCAGGAGGGGAAACAGCAACAACCTGGAGCTCCTGTTTGGAGAAGGGCAGCCCCTTGGGGGATGGGGACAGGGCATTTTCAGGAAAATCACCGAGTTTCAGCCCTTTCCAACAAGGTGCTGCATGGCCCAAGGGCCCTGTCTGTTGTTTAACAACCCTGCTCACCCCAAAGAGGTTCACTGCTGCCTGACCACAGCCCCACCAAGGCAATGGAGGAATCATCTTGTCATGGAACTGGTTCAAAAGTCCCTGTGGAGGGTGTGGAGGCAGCAGAGTGGACAGCCAACCCATGCAACTTCATATGAAGAATTTCCTACAAAAAAACCCAAGAACTACTAGGCCAAAAAGGGAATTCCTCTCTGTAATGTGAAGCAAAACTCTACAAACAGAAGAGGAAGCAGGTAAGGAACCACTGCCAATTATCACAAGTAAACTGGATGAAAATCACCTAGGAAAGGTCTCAGACAAAGCTTCAGACCATTCCCTTCACATTCACCACTCTTAAATCAGGACAAGGACAAAGCCAGTCCTGGAACTCCTGCCACCCTTGGCCAAGGTTCTGCTGAACTATAAAATCTGACTGATCATGCTGCATCCACCTCTCTGCGCTGCTCAGGATGGATTTTTAAGCTCTTGAAAGGGTCAAGAGGAGTGAAAAGTGAATTTTTCTGTGCTGCTAACCTCCATATAAACAAGCAGTGCTCCACCAGCATGTGCAGTGTCCCCAGGGCGTGCTCCCAGCTCTCCTTACAGGATTGTTATCTGTGTGCACACCTCAGAGGAACCCACAGCACACAAGGAGCTGCAGCCAAGAGCAAAACCAGGGCCAAGAGGGACTTGCCACAAGCCAGTGGTCATCTCCATGTGACCAACAGCCACAGCCAGACAGAGCATTGGGGACAATGACACCGAGGTCACTTGGTAGAAGCTCTGCAGGGAAACTGCGAAGATCAGAGCCTGCTACCTAATAAAGCCAGAAGAGCAGGCTTAGACCTTGATGATCATGGCACAATTTCTATTTATGTCGTATTTTGGGCAGCCCTACAATAGCTTCACTTTACTCAGCCACTAACTCACTGGAATGCAAACACATCAACAATCTGGCTCCCTGGAGGTTTCTATCCTGCAGCTAATGCGGACTTTGAAGCCTCATCAGTCCACTGTCACCTAAAATAGCTTAAGGGATTCTTACATAAAGAAATCTGGCTCTCAGCCTTAAGAGTGTCACCTAATGCTTCAGAGTTTCCTTCCTCTGGTTGGGATCTAAACATTATTGAGCAAACCTGGAGCAGTCACACGTCACACCTGCATGTTTTAATTCTCCTTCTCCCTTTGTAGATGTTTATGGATTTTTAAATAGTTTCTGAAGCTCCTGAATGCAATGATTCAAAACCTCCACTGAAACCCTAGCTCTGCCTGCCTGAGTCTCCACTCTGTCCCAACCTTTTCTTCTCAGTTCTCACACCAGGAGGTGCCTAGATGAGGTTTCCAGTGGGTATTTTCAAGAATACAGGATAGAACTTTGAGCAGAGTCATGCCACACAAGCATTTTCTATTAGGGCAATGAGTAGGGTCATCATCACCAAAAATGTGTCAGCAGGGCCCCTCACCGGCCAGGCAAACAGGAAAGAAAGCTGGATTTAAAGCAGAACACCCCAATTTCCCAGTTAAATTCAGCTGGAATTCAGTTAAATCCCACTCTGCTGCAGCCAGAGATCCGTAAATCCCATCAGATCAGGTGCACAAACAGCAGCTCAGCCTGCACCCCTCTGAAACCAGCTCGGCTGTTGGGGGGGAACGTGGACGTGCGTGGAGCTCGTGCCTTGGAATCAGCCGAGGTAAAATCAAGACAGTGAACTAAATCCAGAATTATCAACTTCATGCAGCCTCAAACCGATGTCTGTGCTGGTTCAGTGATGGGTTTTGGGCAGGAAGAACCCAGGGCCTGGAAGATCTCCGTGGGCTGTGTCCTGCCTGGACCCCACAGCCCTGCCCCCAGCACAGGAGGGCCAGGTCACCCTGCACAGCGTGGCAGGCCCGAGGCAGAACACACAGAAACATCTGGAAACACTTGAACTGTTCCACCAAGACCCCTCTGAGCCCCAGGGAGTGTGGGGGGCTGGGATGGCACTGCCCAGCAAGAGCCCCTCAGAGCAGGGGCAGCGCTGGGCACTCTGTGGGGACCAGACCCACTCACAGGGTCCCACCTGAGCAGGGAGAACCCAGGGAGGGGTGGCTGTGGCCTCTGTGTAATGAGTGTCCTCCACGCAAGGAAGCTGCCCCCTCAGATTCCTTCTGGCCGTCACCTGAGGGAAGACAAACCTCAAGAAGAGAGAAGGCACTGCCATACCCACCGCTCACAGCTCTGGCACATCAGGCGTGACACCTTCTGGTCCCCACCCTGGGTGCAGAACGTGCCCTCCCCCATGCAGGGACCCTGTCCCAGCTCACCTGGCCCCTTCCAGCACAGCCTGCAGCGATTTCTTCAGAGCTGCACTGCTGCGCTCCAGGACAGCGGCCAGGCTGCTCCGCTGAGCTGGGCTGACCTGCGGTGGGGCAGCAGCACCTCAGGGCCCTGCCCTGCCCAGAGCCCACCTGGAGCTCACCTGGGAGCTCAGGGCAGGGCCCCAGGAGCTGCAGGAGCTGAGCTGGCCGGGCTCACCTGGCTCTGGCACGCCGTGAGCACGGCCGTCACCAGCTTGGCGAAGCCGAGCGATGTGGCGAAGGCCGGGGCCTGCTGGCACAGGGTCAGGACCAGGAGATCCAAGAGCTCCGGGGGCAGCACCTCCTGGGAAGGAGCCAGGAGCAGGCAGGAGAGTGGGTCCTTGCTCCAGCACTGCTGGAGCCATCAAGGAAACCCGTGGGACAAGGAAACCCTCACCTGCCGCCCCAGCACGGCCTGCAGCACTGGCAGGAGTTTCTCTGACAAAGGCACCTCCAGGACTTGGCTGGAAGGACAGTGAAGAGGAAAGGTGCTGCTCCGTGGCCTTGCTGGTGTTCCCAGAGGGCTGGAGCCAGCTGGACCCATCCAGGTGGGTGTCAGGCCAAAGCAGAGCTGGCACCCCTCACCTCAGCACCAGCTGCACCGAGTGTGGCTCCAGGCACTCCTCCACGAGCTCGCACAGCAGCTTGGTCTGCTCAGCACCTGCGAGGGCAAAGCAGCAGGGGAGAGCCTCCAGAGGCTGCCAAATCCACGGGGATGTGCCTGGCCCTTCCTGGCACCTCTTCACAGCAGTATGTCCCAGTCAGGACAGGCAGAAGCTACAGAGTGCCCCCTTCTACTGCTCAGGATAATTCTGCTTCCTTTGCCCAGCTGCAGCAAAGGTTTAAACAGCACCAGCCTCTGGGAAAAGGGGATGGATGCCACTGTGGCAGGGGTTCACCCTCTCCTCACAGCAGCACTGGCCTGAGCATTAGGAGCTGTCAGCAATCATGGAGGTATGGGAACTGTCCTTTGGGAAAAAACAAGCCAGAAGCCAACCTGGCCAGCCTCCTCACTCCATCTCGGGTATCTGTAAACCCATCTCCCATCCAACCCCCAGGTGTTCACCTGCCCTGAAAAAACCAGCCCCAGCCTCCATGGCTCCTTACACATGGCAAATGCCACCCAGGGAACAGCGCTCTGCAGGAGCAGCCACACCTCCCACCAGCCCAGCACACCTTCCCCTGGCCCCTGCAGCACCGCAGCCACCAGCACACGGCAGAAGGGATGGGAATACTTGGAGCAAAACGAAGTCAGGGCAGCCATGAGGTGTCGGGAAGGCGGCTGGGTGAGGGACAGGACCTGGGGACAGAAAAGGCAGGATGTGGGAACAGTGGAGAGGGGAACGGGGAGCAGGAAAGCTGCCCTGGCACCTACTCGCCTGAGGAAGAGCTGCTCTGCCAGGATGGCTGCGCTGGTGTAGCTGAGGTCAGGGCTCAGAGCCAGCAGCCAGCTGCAGAAACGCACCAGGAAGGGCTCAGGGCACGTGGAGAGCTGCAGGAAGGAGCACAGCCCCTCAAGCTGAGGGGATGGGACATTAGGGACAGCAGCAGGCCCCTGCAGCAGCTGCAGCAGGGATGCTGGGCTCACCTGGCTGGGGGAGCAGTTGTTCAGGATGCTCAGCTTGGAGGGGGTGCGCAGCTCGGAGTGCTGGAGAGAAACAGTGACCTGAGTAAAGCACCAAATAAACCATCCCACAAAACACAGCACCAAATAAACCAACACGCAAAACACAGCACCAAATAAACCAACCCAAAAAATACAGCACCAAATAAACCAACCCACAAAATACAGCACCAAATAAACCAACACGCAAAACACACCAAATAAACCAACACGCAAAATACAGCACCAAATAAACCATCCCACAAAACACAGCACCAAATAAACCAACACACAAAATGCAGCTCCAGGGCTTCTCCCTTACCCCCATGTCTGTCAGCACTGAGCCCACAGGCAGCCTCTCACGCCTGCAAGGTGCAGGCAGGTGTTGGTATCCCAAGCCCAGAGGAGGTACCAACAGGGTGTTTTATCCCCATCCAGTTGGCTCTGTGAAATCCACCTCCTTTTCCACCCCTCCTGAGGCCCTGACATGAGCCTGTTTAGAGCATCAGCTCCAGGACAGAGACAGAAGCAACCACTTACACTGGACTCCTGCAGCAGCAGCATTTTCAGCCCCTGTCCATGCATCTGAGGGAAACGAGATGAAGGAATGGGAATCAGGCTGTAAAGGCTCAGTGGCTGGAAGGGGACAGCAAACCCTACACAGTACCTGGACAAAGGATTGGACCTCGGCTGCCAGCTCTGTCTGGGAAATCTTCCTGAGCTCCCCTGCTGCATCCTGCTGGGAGCTGTCCTGAGCAGCTTTAGCTGTGCTCTGAGCAGAGGCGTCCCCTGAAGGCTCCTCAGGCACCTCCTCTTCCAGCCCTGCCTCATCTCCACATTCCTGGGACCCCAGGGGCTCAAATGCCGCCTCCTCCAGCAACAACCTCTTCCCTTCTCTCTCATTGTCCAACTCCAGGTTCTCCTCCGGCACTTCCTTGCACTTCCCACCTTGAGGCACAGAGTCAGGGGCACCAGGCTGCTTGCTGAAGCACCAGTTCCATTTTCTTTGCCCCTCTGGTTTCTTCTGGGCAATTTTTTGGCATAGGCCCCTAAGCTGCTGCTGGCATGCAGAAGACAGGGCAGGGGGACGTGGGGAGCTCTCTTCTGCCTTCAGTCCCCGCTGGAGCAGATTCCCCAGTGTCTGCACCCAGGGATCCACACGGGAATCCTGCTCCAGGGCCTGGAGCAGCTGCTCAAGGCAGTCCCGTGGCACTGCATCCTGCACCACGAGGAGCAGGGAGAGGAGGTTTCTCTGGCACAGAACGGGCAGCAGCAGCAGCCGTGGCTTGCTGGAAAAGGAGAGGTGACCATCAGAGCAAGTTCCTCTGTCCTGAACCCAACCCGCCCCGTGGAGCAGAGTCCCACAGCGGACACCCGCTGGGACACCAGTGGGTCACTGCTGTGATCTCAGCTTCACGCATGGACCGGCGCACCGGGGTGTGGGAATCCAGGGCTTCCCTCTGGCTGCCCTGGCAGGTCTGGGACCCTGGCAGGGGTCAGGAACCCCCCTGGACAGAGCCCCCAGAGACACTGGCTGTGATCTCTGCCCATGGAAAAGAGTTTTCAATCCTACAGGATGAATTACAAGCTTTGAGTGTTTGATAAGAGTAATAATTAAGTGTGACATGGGTGCAAAGGTAAAATTTTAGGTTTCTAGATTAGGGGTTCAGAGGGGACAAGATGGAGGAATTGGGTGTGTCTTGTCCTTTTTCTCCTTCTTCATGCCCTCCATGTTTCACTGTGGTGTTGGCATTTTTCTGTTGGTTCAGGCTGGGGACACACTGTCCAACGTAGGTGACAGATATTGGCACGTTATTGTAAATCCAGCACAGGTAGTTTGTGGTATTTAATGTTTGTACCATCCCACTGAGGGCAGAGCCCCACACGCTGCCCTGCAGGACAGAGCTGCGGCAGGGCAGCAGAACATGTTAGAGATAAACAGAATAAACAACTTGAAACCAGCACAGACGAATTATGGCTTCTGCTTTGGCAGCGGGGCTGACAGACAGAGACTTTCTACAATCTCGGAATCACCAATACCCACAGATTCCGACACCGGGGGAAGCAGATGCGCTCTCCCAAATTGAGCACCTGACACCCAAAACACCCAGTTTTAGAAACTTATCCAACTCACACAGCCAAGGTGTCCTTTGGCCCCTCCAGCCAGGGCTCCTGGGCGCACAGGGCTGCGGTGAGCGCCTGCCAGGGGAACGCCTGGCCCGGGCCCTGGTGGGGCTGGCCCCGCTGCAGCAGCCGCAGCGCAGCCCCCGGCCCGGACAGAGCCAGGGCGTGCAACAGCAGGCGGCAGGGCCGGGGGCAGAGCTGCAGCCAGGGCGGGCACCGGGGCTCCATCGCTGCGGCGGGGCTGCACAGCTGCCTGCGAGACACGGGACACGGTCACAGACATGGGGGACAGCCGGACACGGTCACAGACACAGGGGACAGCTGGACAAGGGACACAACTGGACACAGTCACTCACACGGGGCACAGCCGGACACAGCCACACACATGGGGAGCCCGGACACGGTCACACACACGGGGACAGCTGGACAAGGGACACAACTGGACACGGTCACACACACGGAGGACAGCCGGACATGGGGCACAGCCAGACATGGTCACACACACGGGGCACAGCCAGACACGGCCACACACATGGGGAGCCCGGACACGGTCACACACAAGGGGGACAGCCGGACATGGGGCACAACTGGACACGGTCACACACACGGGACACAGCCGGACACGGTCACACACACAGGGAGCCTGGACACGGTCACACACACGGGGCACAGCCGGACATGGGGCACAACTGGACACGGTCACACACACGGGACACAGCTGGACAAGGGGGACACAACTGGACATGGTCACACACACGGGACACAGCCGAACACGGCCACACACATGTGGAGCCCGGACACGGTCACACACACGGGGCACAGCCGGACACGGTCACACACACGGGGGACAGCTGGACAAGGGACACAACTGGACATGGTCACACACACGGGACACAGCCGGACACGGGGGACAGCCAGACATGGTCACACACACGGGGCACAGCCGGACACGGTCACATACACGGTACACAGCCGGACACGGTCACACACACAGGGGACAGCCGGACACGGTCACATACACGGGGAGTCCGGACACGGTCACACACACGGGGGACAGCCGGACACGGTCACATACACGGGGAGTCCGGACACGGTCACACACACGGGGGACAGCCGGACACGGGGCAGTCCCGGGCACACTCACATCTGTCCCCGCACTGTCCCGGTTCTCACCCCGTCCCCGCACTCTCCCGGTTCTCACCGTGTCCCGCACTCTCCCGGTTCTCACCGTGTCCCCGCACACTCCCGGTTCTCACCGTGTCCCCGCACACTCCCGGTTGTCACCGTGTCCCGCACTCTCCCGGTTCCCGCCCCGTCCCCTCCCGCTGTCCCACGGCGCCGCTTCCGGCCCCGCCCCGGGGAACGCAAATCGCCCGCGCGGCAAACGCGCTCATTTATGCAAATACTCCCTAAATTCCAACCCAAGCACCGCTTCCCCTCTCCCCCAGCCCACAGATCACAGGCACCGTAGCGTTACACAACCCGTTTTATTTCGTTATGCCCGGATTTGGCTAAAAAGAGTTTAAAACAGTGCCCCCCTGCTGCCCGGCCCGTGGATGTCGGACCCCCCCCCTCCGCCGGCTCCCAGCACCCACCCCACCCCACCCACCCGTGGGTCTCCCCTGGGCACCACGGCAAGAGCAGTGGGACTGTGCCCTGAGTCTCCCCGGTGCACCCATAAATGCCAGACAGACTGCTCCCCCATCCCACCCCATCCCTGCGACACCCCCACGGCAGGAGCCACCCCAAAACAACGGCAGGAGTCAAAGCAGACACTTCTGCCTCCCACGGACGTGTCCAGGCCACCACCAGCACCCAGGCCCAGCGTGGCCCCCACGGCTCAGTCGGAATCGATGAAGTCAATGAGAAGCATCTCGTGGCCGTAATTTGAGTGGGGAAATTCTGTCTCCAGCATGGCCAGGGTCAGAGCCCACTCGAGCGTGCAGAGCTCCTCATCCTCCTCGTCAGAGCTCTCCGAGGAAGAAGGGATGAACACCTGCAGCAGAGGAGGGAGGATGAGCCACGCTCCTGGTGCCCAGCCCAGCCCTGGGATGTGCCACCCCACTTACAGCGGGCATCCTCAGCTGCCGCTGTCTGTGCCGCCGCAGGCACTTGGCAGGCAGCTCATGCAGGTAGATGCACTCTGATCTGAAAGGGCAGTGGCCCCGGAGGAAGAATTTGCACCTGATTTTCCTGTGGGATTCCAAGCATAGTTGTGAGTGTGGCTCCCAGAGCAGCACAGAGCCCACAGCCCTGTGGCAGTGCCTGGTACTCACCCTGTGCGTGCCTTGAAGGCTCTGATGAGCTTCTCCTTCTCACCCACATCTGAGATCCAGTATTTGTGGGGGATGTAGTAACTGGAGGTGATCCGGCACTCTGGGCAGGCCCTGGATGAGGGTGATGGGTGCAGCTGGGTGTTCCAAGAAGGGAGCAGGGAGCATGGGCCCAGCACCCACACTGGGTGCTTCTGCTGCCCTGGCTTCGCCCAGCACCCCCATACCCATCACCGCCCCAAAGGAAACTCACGCCAACCCCAGAGCCACATCACCGGAGCAAAGGAAGAATTTCAGGGCACAGAAAGGGGAATGGTGACCACCCTGCCACGTCCCCATTCCACTCACTTTATGACGGTGCTCTGGAAGTTCCGGCTGCGCCGCCACTTGCGGATGCAGCCCACGCAGTACGCGTGGCTGCAGTTCGGGAGGATCCCAAAGAGCCGCTCCTCTGGCAGTGGCTTCTCATACACCCTGTCCATGCAGATGCCACACACTACAGCCTCACTGCGGGCCCTCAGCGCTGCGGTGCTGGCCAGGGCTGCCACAGCACCCGGCTCTGCAGGGACCTGCAGGCAGAGCAGCACAGCAAACCCCCTGGTTCTGTCACTGCTCTGGCCTCGGGGAACACCACAAGGTGACCACAAGGGAATACCCGGCCACAGGAGACCCCAAACCCACCTTTGCAGGGTCACCAGTCCATGTTGCCATCTCCAAAATTGCCTCTTTGGGGTTAGAGGAGTCTGGATCCAGTGCTGGTCCTTGTGGCTGGAAGCCTGCAGGAGGAGAGTTCTTAGAATGGAAAAGCTCAGCGAGCTGGGTGGGCTGCTCTGAGCATGCAGCTTCAGCAGTGACAGTCCCCACACTGGAGAGCTCTCCACAGCCCAGCTTGACCCAGGCTTGGTCATAGGCAGAAATATGCACAGGCAACTTCACCAGAACCACCCCAGTGTCACCCCACTTGTCCCCTGGGCAGCTTAGCACCTACCTGAGGCACTCTGAGCTTTTGTGGGAACAAACTCTCCACTGATGTCCCCATGGGGGATATTACCAAGAGATGGGATGTTCTTCTTGTCTTTCTTTTCCACTTCTGCCTCCACTTTGGGGAACTTGAAGGCCACACACGTCTTGCTGTGGGCCATGGTGCACTGGGCTCCCCCCTGGTCCCGCTCCATGGCTGTGGGCTCAGTGCCAGGCTCCTGGCCACAGTGGCAGTGAGGCATCAGACCATACTGGGTCCCTACTGGCGCTGGCTCCTCCTGGATGTGCTGGTAGCTGGAGGAGCCCAGGGACAGAGACAGAGGGTCCCATCAGTTCAGCACGACTCCTCTGGGCTCCCAGCCCACCCTCGTGGCATCACAGCCCTTCCTTACCTGCACTGCTCTCCATAACGGCAAAACCCACGCTGGAAGTACCTGCAGACCCGGGCTGATTCTCTGTCATGGGAGAAGCGGCAGCTCTGGCCCCACCGACAGAATCCACGGGCAAAATTCCTGTTAGCCAGGGGAGCCGTGTGGATGGGGTCAGACCCTGCTCCAGCCCTGCCCCGGTACCAGCTTTGTTTAAGTGGGGACGTATTTTGGAAGCCTCCCCGGCTGGTGTCTGGGCTCGGGAGCCCTTGGCCAGGGCAGATCGCAGACCCTGGGATCCAGGGTCCTCCCAGCCCCATCCAGCCTAATTTCCTGCTAATTGCCAAGGAAAGGAAGCTCGGGACAGGAATGGTTTGGGGGAGCAGCGGCACCGAGGGCTGGGGCAGGGAGAAGGGCAGGGAGAAGGGCAGGAGCCCTTGGCTTGGGGCTGCAGGAAGGGGGTCCCGGCTGCAGCGCTGCCGCCGACCCCCAGCTCCGGAGGGGGGATGGAGAAATGCGGAGGGTGCATCAAGGCCATCCCGAACCACTCCCTACCCCCACAGCGAGGGGCCCCATCTCCAGCCTATCTCCCCCAAAAGCTGCTCCCAGCCACCCCATCCTCCAGCCTTTACCTGCACAGGGGTCTCAGAGAGTTTGCCTCGGCCCTGAACGGCCCAGATGCCATCACCGAGCGCACCTCCATCTCTTGCCTAGCAGCGAAGAGGGCTGGGCCACCTCTGGGGGCTATTTATGGCCTCAGCGAGGCCCAGGTCCGGCTGGGATGATTCTCCCCCGGTAGCCGGGACACGTGTTTGGGGCGGAGGACAAGCCCGGGCTGGCTGATAGCAGCGGGCCGCTGGGCGCAGTTTATTTACACTGAGTCAAGGACTTTGCAGCGAGGAGCAGGCACGGGGCACCACTCCAGCGTGCATCGCTAAATTCTGTATATTCTAATTATTTTACCAGTGCTATTTCCCCTTCCTCCTCAGTCCTACTAAACTGTTTTTAACTCAGCCGGTGGATTTCACGTCTCTCTCACACGCTGGGAACGGGTGGATAATGTAATGCTGCCTGTTGGGGGGTGCCCAGGCAGGTCCCCCGGGACCCCCGCCCAGCACAGCGCGGCTCCCGGTGCCCCCCGCTGCATGGGAGAGGCGGGGAGCCGCGGAACATCTTCCCCAGGGCACTGAGTGGTCTTCAGCTCCTCCTTGCAAATTCTCAGGTGTTTCACCACAGCCAAGGACAGCCCAGGTGCCATCACGCGACTGCCCTGGAGCGCATTGTTCCCCTTGTCCCGGTGTTTTCAGCTCATTGCCAGCTCCACCCGCAGCATTTGGGGCAGGGAGCATCCAGCTGAGGTTGGGATCCTGCTCCACACTGCCTCTTTCTGCTGCTTTAGGTTTGCAGGCAAGAAAACCACAGCAGGTACGAGATCTGGGAATTACAGAAACCCAGGAATCACGGCAAATCCCAGCAAATCCCAGCAAATCCCATCGCCTCTGCTGGAAATCCTCCCACGGACAGCTGTCCCCAGGTGCTGAGAGAAAGACCAAAAAAATAGGCTGGACACTAAAAGGTTCTTAAATATTTAGTTCAGATTTATTTAAAGTCAAGTCAGTTTGTGGACACTATTTATATTATTAAAAACACTTGGAGGTTTGTACTTCTAGCAAAAATATACATTTCAGTTTGAGGGTTGTTATACTGTCGAGGAAGGAAGAGCAAAAAGTTTCCCAGGTGATGGGCACGAGTCCTGCATTGCGACCGAGGTGGGGACACCACCGGGATTTTGGGAAGGACAAATCCCTGGGCTCCCACCTGCACACTCATGTGTCCAGTGCCTTCCCCCAGAGGGCTTCAAAGTGCTTCAGAAACGGTGATTCCCAACACCCCTGCGAGGTAGGGAGGGGAGGGCTGGGCAGGGAAACTGAGGCACGGCAAACTGAGGAGTGTGGCAGCAGGGGGAGGTTTGGGACCGACCAGCCCTGTGATGGGGAGGGAAAGCCTAGTGCTCTTCCCCTTTGGGTTTTCAAGGAATTATTGCACCAGGGAAATCTGCTACCCTGAAGAAGAGGAAAGTAAAATAAAACCGAATAATTTGCTCCCACAACCCCTCCTAGGGAATATCAGTATTTTAATAAGGCTGCTCAGGACACAAGGGACTAGGAGCTGCAGACAGAGAAGTGCTGCTTCTTAGGTGAGACACCATTATCCTGAAAGGGAAACTGAGCCATTCCCAGATCTATCCTCCCCCTGCCCAAAGCCCAAGGGACACAGCCCCCACACCAGGGGCCTGCCTGGCCCAGGCAGCACCGTGGTGTTTCACTACAGCTGTGAGAAGTTGTGAGGTAAAGTCCCAGAATGGTGCTGGGATCAGGCAGACCCCTAAGCCTGGAGCTGCTCCACTCTTGGGAACAGTGGCAGAGGTGGACTGGCAGCTTCCCTGACACAGCCACGCTCACCGGGAAGCTCCTGCTCATTGTGAGCATCCCAACCACCCCCCTCCCTGTTTATAAATCCTTGGCATTTACAGCTGCACAGCTCTGCAACCAATGCACTAACAGATCCTTGTGCCCCTGCTCCGAGCAGACAGCATGTGACAATCCAGGTCCCTTTCACAGAGGGGAAACTGAGGCAGGACACCAGACCCTGACCAGCTCAAGGCCTCTGACCCTCCACACACCTTTTTTGTAACCCATGTCTGTGCAGAGCAGCCTGTGGAAGCCACGGATTCCGTGACTCTGCTCTGAAAGTGAATTTTAAGGAGTCAAATCCTTTCACTCCTACTTCCCCATCCCAGCCTCTCTCCTACTGAGGTGCCAAGGGACATATTCCCTACAGAATGAGGGTGCCAGGAGCGAAGGCTCCCACACAGCACCCAGGAAGGCAGAGTTCACACATCCCCACAGGAATGTGGGGAGACAGGAACACACTGCAGAGCACGGTGGGGGCTGCAGCTGAGGGTCTCCCCTGGGACAGCCCTACCTGTGTTCAAATACTCCAGAGCTTTTCTTAGGGAAAGAGAGAAACATCCTCTCATCACACTGTCCCAAACTTCATGGCTCAGGACCACATCCTTGGAGTGCAAACGAACAAGAGAATACAGACACCTGTAAGTGCTGCAGTCAGCCCCGCTGGCCCCTGCACCCCCTTGGCCCTCCTAAGGACCAGGGCTCCCCACCCTGGGGACCCAAGGTGCCACAGTGACCTCGCTGCCCGAGCCACGTAAACTGGGCGGCCGCTCCACTTTCAGGAGCAGCTGGAGCTGGGCCACAGGAACGGGAACAGCAGCACTGCAGAGTTGTTAGTGTGTGTTAACGGAAGCCCTGGCCGAGCAGGAGGCACCTGCAGATCCTGACGGCATCTTGCCCTACGTACCATATGTCAGGGTCACATAGAAAAGAGTTTCCAGTAGGAGAAATGGAAGACACTGGGAAGGGTTTTCTTTGTTTCTGTACAAAGAGTCTTGATGGGAATCCATGGCTTCATTCTCATAAATAACAGGTCCTTAGTACATGTCCTTGTAGATCTCCTGTAGAAGTGGGTGCAGAGATGTCTCTGTCTCTGTCTTCTTGATCTTCTGCACCAGCTGGGCGTGCTCTGTCACCAGCTGTCGCAGATCAGCCATCTTCTGCAGCAGCTTGGGGAAGAGGTACTGGGCATCTGGGTGGTTGGACTGCAGGTGGAACTCCAGCGCTCGCAGGATGTTGTCTTGGATCTCCTCCACCTGCTTCACGTTCATCAGGCCAGGGCGGTCTGTGGAGAGGAAGCATGGTAGCTGCAGGGTCATGGTACACACTGCTCCTGGGGAAAGGGAGCCAGGGACTGTAACCCACCCACTGTGACTTCAACCTCATCAGCTAGAAAGGGGAGAAGTGTGCCCCTGGACAATGTATCCCACAGCAGCACATGAGAAAGGAGATGCCACTTCTGCATTCCCTGCTGTTGGTCCAAGCTTGCCAGGCATCCCCTCCACAGAGAAGCTTTGGTTTTGGAAGTGTTCAGTTCTTCTCTCATGGCCGAGACATCCCTGGCTGACCTCAAGCCCAGCTGCAGCTCAGCTCCCCTAGCCCCCTCTGAGCCACCTCTAAGTAGGGAAGACTCTTCCTGACCCTGGCACGGCTGAGGGCACCCGCTCACCTCCACACAGGATGATGGCAGCCACAAACAGGGACAGGTCACTGTCATCCAGCTCCAGCGCGTTGAACTTCACAGCAAACTCAAATTTGGGCTCCATGATCTCATTGAAGGGCTTGCGCAGGCTGCGCAGGAACTCGCGGGTCACAAAGCCGTTCCCGTTGGCCACCAGCAGCCCATCCTTGTTCATGATGGAGGCCAGCATGGCGAAGATGGCCTCGTGCACGCCGTACTTGAGCAGAGTCACTTGGTCGTTCAGGTAGAGGCCTATGAAGCTGGGGATGCTCTTGGCGAACTCGGTGAGCTCCCGCACGGTCTCCACCGTGGTGCACTGGCAGCGGTAGAAGACGTGCACCCCGATCTCCTTGTAGGGGGGGATGCCGTTCACCAGCTGCTTCCACACCAGCCCCTTCTCTGCCTGCCACAGGGTGTCCATGTCATGGATCACAAAAGGCTGCTTGAACAAGAAGCAAGTTAGGAGTCTGCTGCGGGGACTCGAGGTGCCAGCTCTGCTCAGGACAGTCATGTTTGTCTGCCTGTCCCTGTGCTGTGCCCTGCCTCTGGGGCTGACAGTGCCCAGCTAATCTGCACCCACCCACCCACCACAGCACAAGTGTGCAGAGCAATGCGGTTTCTCCCAGCAAGGGAGCCCAGGTGAGAATGGTGCATGTGGAACAGCTATGGCAGCAGGGAGATGTGCAGCATCTCCCAGAGAACAGTCCCCCATGCTGGCCATGGCCAACCCCACCTGCCCTGGGAGGGAACTTACTGGGGTGCTGCTGGCCTTGCCGGTCAGGATACCTCTTGCCTTCTTTTTGGTCATGTTGAAATTCTTCAGGTAGGCGTTGTAGATGTGCTTGGAGAAAGCTTTCAGGTCAGCCACCTGTGGGTTCTGGCAGCTGATCTCGCTCGCTGTCAGCCCTGCCACCAGCTTCCTCTTCTCTGCCTCTGGCATGCGCCCGAAGCGGATTGCTGGGGGGCAAAACTGGGGGTCAGGACAGCAGGGGAGCCCCAGGAGATGCATCCAGAGAGGCAGCAGTTTGCTCTGCCACTGCAGGTCTGCTGGAGAACACCTGCAGCTATATAACACAATGCTTCTCCAGGCTGCAGTTCCTTCAGCACTAACACCTTCATGAAACATCCACTGCTGTTTCCTCACACCAGAATCCCATCCCATTCCTCTGGGCTCTTGCTCAAACCCTGCTTCCCACATAAACACCTTTGCTTGTCTGGGTCTGAGATTCTCACACATGAAATCTAAAAGTCCCAGCACACAACAATTTGTGTGTCCAGTTCCCTCGGGGCCAGTACATAAGGGACAACCACATGCCAGCAGCTGCACTGCATGGTGGGAATGAGCAGCCCCTTCTCATACAGAAAAAGGAGAAGAGGAGTCAAATGCTTGAAGCACTAGATTTGAATGATCACCTAGCAAGAAAAGCCATGGACTAAAGCACAGGAGGCTATGAGCACCCTTCACAGGAGGGCAGCTGGCCCTGTGTCACCCAGCTGGCCAGGCCTGTGGGCAGCAGTGACACTCACCATTGTGTGACATGCCCAGCGAGAGGCATTTCTGGAAGCGGCAGTACTGGCACTTGTTTCTGTTCTTCTTCTGAATCTTGCAGCTCCTCTCACACTTCTCGTACTCCAGCTTCATGCGGATCGTCCGGCGGAAGAAACCCTGCAGGCAGGGAGCAGGGAGACATGGAGCAGCAGGGCCTACGGTTTGGAACCAGACTGGTTTGTTATCCCCAGGAGCTTCAGGGAGGTTCAGGAGGGGGAGCCCTGGGTCTCTGTGATGCAAGCAGGGTCTCTGTCCCAAGAAGTCCATGTGGTGACAGAAAGGGGCTGCAAAGGAAGAGATGTGAGGGCACCCCATGCCTGGCTGTGACTGTGGCCAGCAGCCCACAGAGAGGGATGGAGGAACAAGCCATGGGCCAACCCCAGCCTGCAGGAATGTCTGGCAGGACCTGGGCTGCTAACGCAACCCTGCTGGATCTGCTGCAGGGGAAAGAATTCCAGAGGAACATCCAATCTGCAGCCAGTGATCCCAGGGAGATAAATACACAGCTCACTGATGATTTTCAGCACAGAAGCTATTTTTAAAAGCGAAATCAGGGTCTCTTTGGGGACAGATGGATTTGCCTTACACATCAAAGCATGACAATGCAAGGTTTGGGCCATACAGGTCTCAGTCCCCTTCCCAGGGCAGCATCTGTTGCCTGCCTATGCTTGCCCATTCTAGACAGGTTGAGGTTTTTACAATCAATCCCAAATCCCTGTTTTGCTGCAAATCTGCTTGTGTGAGGAGGCAGCCCAGTCGCTGGGATCCGAGCCCTGCTTGGTGCTGCAGAGCCCAGCTGTCCCTGGGACTCACCTTGCAGCCCTCGCAGGCGTGCACGCCGTAGTGGAAGCCCGAGGCTTTGTCTCCGCAGACCCTGCACTCCACGTTCAGCGCTCCCAGCGCCGCCTCCTCGCAGCCCATCTGCAGCTGGTCCGACAGCGAGGGAGAGGAGCTCTGTGACAGGTCTGCGAACGCACACAGGGACACGTCCTTCCATGTCACAGCCACCGGCCCAGCTCCTGGCGTGGCTGAGGAGGGACTCCAGCCCTGTCCTGCCTGCCCCTGGTATCACATCTGGAATCAGGCACCAGCTGCAGGCAAATGCCATGAACAGCGTCAAGAATGCCCCAGCAGCTCAGACTCCACATTAATGCTCCTTTCTTCCCTTTGGCATTCATGCCCTGGCAATGAAACTGCAACCAGCAGATTTTATAATCCCTTGTTGTCTGGTTGCTGGCACAGGACATCCTAGCTGGAACATCAAGGGCTCTGGAGGAGGCTTTTCTGCACCCACAAACCTTCTCTCCCACCTCCTACAATCACTTTGCTCTGAGGACCTCAAGAAGTGTCCAAGGAAGCATTCCCAAGCACCCTGGGAGGCCCCTTGCTCTGAAGCACAATGTTTCCTGCCTGTCCTTTTAATTTCCACTCCAAAACCCATTGCCAATGGATGTGCAGTGACCTCAGAGGAAGAAATAAGCCTCTCCATAACTTGGAGCATTATTTCACAAATAAATGTGAAATGTTCAGTTCAGCTGAACTCCATTCAGGGACAGATCCTCTGCCCTTGCAGCTGAGCATGCTGCCTGGGGGCTGTGGGCACCTGGATGCTCCACAGGATGAGATCCTGTGGCTCCACTCACCTGTGTAGCTGCTTGAAGGCAGCGAGCTGTCTGGTCCTCCAGTTGGGTCTGAGGCTCCACTTGCCACCATCACTGCCTCTTCCTCTTCCTCTTCCTTGACCTCAGGTACTTCCTCCTGTAGTTGTTCCATAATTGATCACCCCTCAGTGCCAAGACTGCAATCCCTGTCATAGCTCTGGCATCATCCGCGTCTATCCAAGATGGACCCCACCAGGCTGTTCCTGCTAGCCTGCAGGACATGGAGAGAGGCCACTGAGTGCCTGCATGGGGCAGTTCAGCAGCAGGGCAGTGCCACCAACCACACCAGTCCTGCTCTGTGCTTGCTCCTCAGCCAGCGAGACATGCAGAGCAGGGCACATTTAAAGATCCCTTTGCACTGTGGAATAAACATTCTGTAGGACTCGAGGAAGCAAAAGCTCACAGAATTGTTTTTAAAGCCTAGCAGATCACAAATCAGCCCAGATGCCACCCAGGGATCAGGGGTCCCCAACTTATAAGTCCCATGGCAGAAATGCTGCCCCAGATAACGTCCCCCAGAGCTGACAGTGACCTATGTGATGCAGCCAGGGCCAGGCTCTGATAGAGCCAACACCTCCAGAAGGATCAAAGTAGGGCTGGCTTCACCCTCTGTCCCTGCCCAGCCATGGCAGAGCCTGGATTGGGAGCAGCAGCTGATTAGGACACACTGTGCCCGTTGGTTGAAGATACTGGGGGAGCAGTGCAGCAGCAGGCAGTGGCTAAAAGTCCCTGGCCCATGCAAGCCATCTGCAAGACTGATGGCTTCCTGTCGGCCCTGCACTCGCACTCCTTCCCGTCAGAGTGCTGCCAGTTACAGCCTCTGTGTTTGTTTTCACTTGGCTCCTCTGCCAAGAGCAGGGTTGAACGTGTTGCTGTGGCTCTGCGCAGCTGCCGGCCGTGCTCAGCCACGGGGTCCAGCAGCGCAATCCCAACAGCCACACAATCCAACCAGTGTCTTAATCCCGGGTTTCCTGTGGGAGGAACGGCCCCGTCCTCCCCCACACACTTCCGCTCCTTGTTTGCCTTACTCCATCCCAAAGAGCCCACAATCCCACCTCCCTCCCAGCCATGCTGGATCCTGATTCCTAAACTGACTCTTCCTTGAATAATTAATATCTCAAGCCCATCTTATGTAAAGTTCCATCCGCTTCCTTAAGAGAGTTATTTTTAAGTGGAGAAATACCCATCAGGAAAGCCACTGAAATCCAGGTTCAACCAAGAGAGCCTCAGTTTGCAGACCCAAATTAATCTAATGCAGGATATTGCAGGGGCCTTGTATAAGGGCAACCCCAAGCTCTGGGATGGTCTGTGCCCCATGCCCAAGCCCACAGCACAACTCAGGGCTGGCTGGGGAAGGGCAGCAGTGACCCAGGACCCCCTGGATATTTTTGCCCTTCCAGAGCAGACCCTCAGACCTGGCACTTCAGATTTGAGCTGCAGCCAGCTCCTTGGATTGCTGGAAAGACATCAAGGTCAGAGCTCCCTGAAAGAGCAAGGAAGCAGCTTAGGGAGAGAACAAAACCTGCAGGTGGGAGGGTGAACACAGACACCTCACAAAGCCAGGACACAAGTCACCCCTGGAGCTGGTGCCCTACCAGAGCCTGGGTCTCCTGTGGCTCAGGGGGCTTTATTTTTCTCCTCCACACTGGGAATTCAGACTGCAGGACAGGTGGCTTTGCTTCCAGGTGAGGTATATTAGTGGCAACAGAGCACACTGCCCTGTGCTCCTTGGCAGCAGGAGCAGGCAGGGGGTGCTCCCTTCCCATGCCTCCACACGAGCACTGAGGGACCATTGAAGGGCAGTGTTATCCTTGGCCTCTGCTCACACATCCCACACAGTGGGACATGGCAGACAGGCAGGAAAACTTATTCATTGGAGATGGAGGGTAATGAACTTCACTGTTTTCAGGGTTATATATAAATGATCACACAAACATCAGGGAAAAACTTTTGCCTGGAAGAGCAGTTAGTTGGAGAAGCTTGGGGCAGGAGAAGCTCGTCTACAGTGGAAAATCCATCCTGCAGCAGCTCAATGAGCAGCTCATTAGATTCTCTTTGTCCCTGGCATCCAGCACAAGCCCCTTGCTTTAAGCCCCCTGCAGACAGAGCTCTCTGCTTTGCCAGCTATCACAGGACACTGATGGAAACAAGGATGGAGACTGTGAATTTCTTCCTAAGTATATCCAGAGAATCTAGCAAAGTTGTTTCCCTTCCTCTTCCCACAGGATGGGAATGAGCAAGAGCACAAGCATCTCATGACTCGCTGTGCCCTTGCCTCAATGCCTGTTCCAAGGAGCTTTGGTAACCCTGGCTGAGCCAGCAGCTTCCTCTGCAGCTGATTCAGGGAGGGTTTGTTTGCTGGCCCTGGGCTTGGGCTGATGCCTGCTGGCTGCAAACAGCTTGGGCAACAGGTTTGTCTTTCCTAGAAGCTGGCATCTACGCCAAGCTAAACCATCAGTGGGAACAGGGAGAGAGACGTGGCACAACCAGGAGAGGAAAAAAACAGGAATAAGAGTTAAAAGGAGATAAATCTTCAGTGTGGATTCCCTGCAAGAAGGTAGTACTTCTCCAGAGCTGACCAAGATCCAAGCCTCCAGATCATCAACCAACAGCTTGTGTCCCTGTGGCCTGGCAGTTCCCCTGGCAGCCAGTCCTGCTGATTAGCAAGCACACAGATCCTGGAGCCAAGCTCAGAGTTTCCATGCAAAGAAAGCACCAAAGAAAGATCCAAACCTCCCAAGAATCAAGTCACAGAGTTGATCTGCTCAAAGCAGTTGTTCAATACAACTGTACTATAAAGGAGGTCATAAAGGAAAACCAATATATCATGGGAGCACTCCTCATTTGTGTTTATTCCTCTGGACAAGAAAGTTCACCAAATTCACAGCCAAAAGAAAGAGAAGGGGTGAGATGAGAACTCAGCACTGTGATGTGCAGCACATTTTGAATCCACAGTTGAAAACTGACCTGAATCCATAAAAGAGATGTGATTGCTGCTGGCTGACCACCTTTTGCAGACTTCCTTAGGTTGTGTCACTGCTTCCAAGATCTGCTGATCAAGTACCAGTTTCTGTTCCTCCTCCTACTTGTCAGCTACTACTAATAAAAGCCAAATAAGAGCTAAGCAGATGCTGCAATACAGGAAAGGTAACTGAGAGTACAAAACAGGAGAGACAAACACTGAAAACATGTTTATGTTTGCTCCTGTAAGATCTATTAGCCAATGAGATCTCAGCAACACTTAGTAGCTGCGTGTTTCCTTCCTTACTCAAAGTCTTGGCCTCAAGGCAGGCTACACACAAAAATAAACTACTACAGCTAGCAAGGAAGAGCCCTCCCACACAGCACTGACCAGGGTGGATGTTCTGGGCCAGATTTTTCCCCCTGAAGCATCTGTTTAGATGCTGTACCATGCCCCAGAGCCCAGTCCTGTGATTCTCTCTCCCAGGCTGCTCAGTGTGGACCACCTGTGCTTTCCCAAGAGTGAGCTGGGCTCATTAAGCAGAGGGGTGCTGCCAGAGCTGCCATGACCATTAGCTGCTGCTAATTACTGTGGGACTTGTGACACAGGGTGCAGGAGATTCCCTCAGCTGCCTTGAGCAGCCTGGCTTGCCAAAATGAATCACGCATCTATTGCACGTTTTAACTCGCCCACTTCCTGGGCACTGAGGGGGGAAAAAGCCAGCTCATTAAAAAGGTTACGAAACTTGCTGGATTCTTCTCTTTTTGTACCATGATTGATGCTGTCCCCAAAACCAGGTCATGACATTTTGCTCCAAAAGGAACTTGCTGCTGGCTTTGTTCAGAGTGTAAGAGGTATTGCAGACACAGAAAAACAGCAGATTTTGGGCACTGAACTCTCAGCCATGCACAAAGCAGGGTCTGCTAGGCTGCTCCTCTCCAGGAGTTGCAGCCGTCCCTGGCTTCAGCAGAAAGCATGCATGGGATGTGCTCCAAAATCTTGAGATGGCAGATTGGGAAGACTGAGAAATCATCCCTCAACAGGACTCCCTGCCCTCATCAGGCTCATGGCTGAAGGGCAGCAGCAGGGCAGGCAGGGAAGAGCTGCACAGTTCTTAGCTCGTAACTGAAGTGCTGCTCCATGACCTTCAGCAAATCTGGTCAGGTCCCCTATTTCCATTTCTTGACTATAAAAAAAAAAAACAACCAAAACCAAAACCCATCACAAAGAAACAAGGACTTTTACAGTGCTTCCTTCCTGATCATTCCCTGGCTGCATTAGCTCATGGAGATGGCATTTTTGGAAGTGCAGAGCAATAGATTAGTGCTAAGTGTCATTGTTTATTCCTGTATCACAGATTTTGACACCTGTTTGCAGTCACACTCGCAGGTCTGCCCTGCCCAGCCCCAGGTCAGCTCCCTGCACTGCTTGTGACCATCTTCTCCCATTGTACATTCCTGTACAAGGCATTTCCAGGATGACTTTCAGGAAGTAAACTGGCACATCTCATTCTGCCAACTGCTGACTGGTATTTGTGTTTAGCGGTCAACTCAGGACAGCCCAAAGTATCTTTGGCCAGGAGGGCACGTCGGTCTGACCCATCGGAACAAGGACAGCAGCCAGGCAACAAGCAGGTACTGGAAAGGTGACACCACTGGGGCTTCTCAGTGCTTGAAATGGCACAGAAGTGCTGCTATCTGAGAAGATCATTAAGTCTGGCAAGGGGAGAGGATCATTCCCCCACAGCCCAGGGCACTGCAGAGGTGGCTGTGAAACTGTGGCAATGCTTTGGGATCACACAGTAAACCTGGCACTTGCACGCCAGAGAAACTGTCTAGTATTATTCCCCTTTCCTTTAGCATCCCAAAGGTGAGGAGGCTAAAGTGGGGCTTGGAACTCAATGAACCACTGTAAGATGACGCTTTCCCAAACTGCTGAAGTCCTCTTGGTTGTACTCCAAGGCAGTCAGTTTGCTTAGGGACCCCTTGTCCTCATGAACCTGAGCAGGACACGTGGAAGGATCCAGTTTCAGGAACATCAGTAATTATAGAACAGGGCTGGTAAGGGAGGAGCTCACAGAAACAGCAACACCACTTCCCAAGGCAAACAGTGGGCACAGGCTCAGAGCAGCACTGCAATGGAACTCCAGGAAAGTGGCGAGTGGAACAAGCTGTGGCTGTGAACAGGAGCACTGCTGGCGGTCAGTGAGGCCAAGTTTGGCAGTGCTGTGCACACCAGCACCCAGCTTAGATTTCCCCAAAGTCTCAGGGTCACTGGGACACCAGCAAGTGCCACCCATGCTTTGGAAGGGGCAATCAGCTCCCCAGAAAAGCAATGGGGGTAGAAAAGCAGCAGTGGGCCGATGAGTCACTTAGAATCACACTCATGCATGCAGCCTTCTGTCTGGAGCCAAACATCCAACAGGCCCCTAGGTTTTATTGCTATGTTGCCAGTGCTCCCAGATGCAGAAAAATGCCCACAAAACAAATAGCAAGCCTCCTCCTTTTTGCAGCAACAGATTTTAGATCCCATGGACTAACCAGGAAAAAAAAAATCCATCAGCCTGTAAGTTTTGTTATGTTTACACTTGGACTCCCAGAAAAGTGCTACTTGGCTTTGTAGACTTTAGCAAAATATCCTGGCCCCAGCCATGCTGCTCTGATCCCAGGACACAGCTGACAGAGAGCAATTGTGCCCAGACACAAGTTCTGATGATTCAGCAGGGCCAGGACATGCGCAGCGAGACGGATCGAGCAGATTGCTGTGCCTGCTGCAGCTCCCCGTCAGCCACGGAGCAGAGCAACAGAGGGGTCCCAGTCTGACTGCACACATCCCCAGAAGAAAACCCCAGAGAACACCAGAGTTGCTTTTCCACACAAACTAGTACAACACCCTGTCGGGAACTAGATGGGAATGCTGTTTCATTACTATTTTTGGCCACATGCACATAGCAATAGCTGCCTGGACAGCAGAGATTCCCCTGCCTTTTCAGCAGGGAAAGGAGCAGCCACCGTGTCAGTGTGATCCTGCCAAGACTCACAGTGCGCTCTGACCATTTGGATTTCTGCCTCAGCCCCCAGAAAACAAAATGCTTGAGCAAAGCATTCGCACCTTTCATAACATCCTCGTGCCTTTGGCACCGTCTTGGGGGTACAGGGTGAGCCACAGAGCTCACAGCCAGCCAACAGCTACTGCTTCCTCACACAGCCAGCTGCTGGAAGCTCAGCAGGCTCCTCGAGTTCATGCTCACCAACAACCCTTTTCCAGAGATCCCCATGTCCCTAAGTTCCACAAGTTCTACCCCATGGACATGAGAACCAACCCACGGATATTTTCAGAGATGTGTGTCTCTGACCATCAGCCCTCATGGGGTTAACAGCTTTCAAGAGCCAACATCTCTAGCAGAACCCATATAAACAACTTTAAGGTGAAAAGCTGATTTGGACATTTTCAGAAATATCCCAGATTGCATTATGATGAAATCAAGAGCTGCACTGAAAAACACTTGTAAAAAGTCAGGCAGGACAGGGATTTGGGCTTAGGTTCCCGTCAACAAGATGACTGCACAAAGCATTGCTTATTTTGAAGCCATCACACACAACCTCTGCCAGGAAAGGCCTGACAAAGCCTGTCCTAATGAGATAGGCATGTGTTTCGCAGTAAAGTCTGTCTTAACAGCCCATCAAAGAAATGCTTCCCTATCAGCTCATCTGCCCTTTCAAATCACCAAAACCATTCCCTGTCTCCAACCCACATATCTGTTAAGGGTTGAGCATGCATGTTCTGGTTTTTGCTATTTCAAGTTCCAGTTCCCAGATGAGGGAAAATCAGGAAATGCAGCCTGATGGCAACAGCTTTGGATAACTTGGGGGTTACCAGGCTGTGGGTTACCCAGCCCCAGAGGTGGGTCCTGGCTTCACCCAGCACCAGAACAAATGCTTGTGTTTTCATCCTGCCGCTTCCTCCTCCATGGTCAGGATTCCCCTGCAAACCACAGACTCCCCAAAACTCTAAACCTGGAGCAGACCCTGTCTGTGAGATCCCCAGGAAAGCACCCCAACGTACACATGCATTTCAGAGCCCTTTGCAAAGCCAAATAGACCTGACCAAAACGATCCCAGATGTTCACAAGCTCTTGGCTAAGCCTTGGAGAACACAGACATTTTCCAGACACTATGACTGAAACAGTGGATATTAAAGCATTTCAAGAAGTCATAATGAAATTAAGATACATCTTGAGTCAGTTCTGCTCTGAACCCTTCCTGCAGTCAAGCAGGGCTCCAGTGAACATCATCCTAAAATATATATTTTGGGGAAGATGCACTTCACAATCCCCTTGACCAAAAGGATTCATACTGGCATAAATTGTTTCTCTCTAAACCCTGCTTTGGTAAAGTAATTTCCCAGGCATTCTGCCAAGGGAAGCACATTGCAGAGTAATTAACAAAAAAAAATAAAACTAGTTCTACAGAAAAATCTTACTTGTCCTCACTATGGAAATCACTTCTGTTTGTCCAGACGTTCCCAGAGTATCCAAAATGACTGCAGCAGTGCATCTCTGAACAGAGAGACTTCTGGAAAAAGCAGAGATTACTCTGCAGCACCTGATGAGAAGCAACAACGCAGCCCGACAAAATCTGTGGTTATCAGATTGTTCCTACTCTAAGCAAAAGAGTCAGTACAAACCACAAAACCCCTGACATCTAAAATGTCATTGTCAGGGCAAGCCAGCCTGGGCTCTGACAGCAAATAACCTTTCAGGCATAAACACTGTAACATCATCTCACCCAATTAAAACATCATTTGTGTCAGGTTCTGTTGTTCAGAGGAGCCCAAAAGCCTCTTCTTGTGCCAGTCCTTCAGTCTCCAAGAACATTTGCAGATTTCCAGTCCATAATTCAATAGCCACAGACGAAATAGTCCCCAAAGGGCAACAAGATGTACTGTACAAAAATACTTATTTTTCAAAAGGCTTCACACAAGAAAGACAGAGCCCATCAACACCAGAAAACAATTCTGTACAACAATGCTCTTCTGATCAGCAAAGCCTCATGGGGCTCATTATAAAATCCTCTTGACACTCTGTGAAGATCCTTGGAAGTCTGTCTTGAACACCAGAACAGAGGTGGAGAAACCATTGCACTAATCTGACACCGGACCCACGACAGCTCAACACCTCAGCCCTGTGTTGAGGCAAACACACACCCACAGCCCCATGCAGACAGCCAAGGCACTGCTGATTCCAGGAATCACTTCAGAGGTCTGCGGGCAGGACAGTGCCCGCCCATGGCCCTGCTGACCACCTCCTCCAGAGCCCTGTTCTGCTCTGCCATGACCTGCTCAGCTTTGTCTGACACCGACAGCACCAGCACCGGGTCGTGTGTGGGATTGTTGGGTGATTGGTGACCCACGTGCAGCCCCGGATCCCACACACCCTCCCTCATCTACAAGAGCCAATTTCAGTCATCAACATCAGTGAAATAATGAATTGTTATGTCACTATGCTTTGATAGAAAGAGCCAGCTGAGGGGAACAGCATTAGACCATGGTCCTCACAGTGTATTCCTAAAGTAATCCATAAGATCATATTCAGAAACAGAACAAAAATAAGACATGGAGTTTAAATTTAAAATTAAATTTAAGGAAGTTTAAGCTCATGGACAAAGGCAATCTTGCTGGAAGTAAACCGCTCTTCCCTACCCCAAGTTTTTAGGAGCACTGCTAAGTGCCTGGGCCGGTGGCCCGCATGCAAAGGGGAAGGGTTACCTCTGCGGAGCAGCTGTCCCTGTCTGCCTGCCGCCGAGAGCCACCGCTCAGTCACCATGTCAGCCAAGACTGGAGCAATCTGCAGGAGGACAGACAGCAAGTTTCCACGGCTGTGCTGAAGGCCAGATATTTATGCCTCTGGGAGCACTGGGCTGGGTCCAGCAGCCGCTCTGAAATTTAAACGCACACTCCCTCTTTTGCACGCTGAAACCTGGGCCAGGGTGACTCCAGGGGGCCGCTGCCACAGGCAGCATCTGTCCCAAGACAGGAGGCAGAGCAAACCCTGGGGTGTCCCAGCAGACAAGTCACCTGCAGCCAGAGGCTGATGACCCTGAGCTCTTATGACAATGCACAAAGTTGATGCTAGAAAAAGGACTATGGTGGCCACAAGGCTGCTTGTTTACTCAGCTTGCTTAATACACCTTCAAGAGGCTGCCAGAAAGTTCCTGCAACTTTAATGAATTTCTTCTTGGGTGGCTGAAACTTAAGGATCCAACAGAGTTCATTCACTCTTCTTGGTTTTCCTGATAACTTTGCCTTGTATGAATTTCAGACTCAAAAGAGAAGGAAGAGACTAATGCCGGGAAAAAAAGGCTTATGAGGCTTTGAACTAGAGGACTTGGAGGAAATATGTCCTATTTTTAGACAGTTATGCAGACTAACTGGACAGAAAACATTAAACAAAGATGTTGTGAACATGATGCTATTTGCACCCACATACCCTCCCTGACATTACCCAGACTTAGCTGCTCCTCCCACTCCAATGAAAAGCCCCGTTTTGTACTGCTGCCCTTGACATGGGACCAGCAACAAACCAGCAACAAACCAGCATCACCAGCCCCTACCAGGCCAGGCAGCTCAGCAGTAACCTGTGAGTACTGTGCTGAGAGTGAACCCCAGTGCAGCACATCCTTCCAGGTCTGACACGACAGCTGCAGCTGCCCAGGAGAGATGAAAAACGAACATGAACTCCCTGCCTCAAAAGCTGAGTGTGGCCTGAGTGTGGAGGGTGTTCCCTACAGGATCAAGGTACATCCAGAGGAGGTCACAAGTGTTGGATCCAACAATACAACCTGAGTCCCGTGCACTGGAGCATCAATCACATCAGGATTTCCCAATCAGTCAAAGCCACATCCTCTTGAAGGCAGTGATTGCCCTTGTTTAGAGGTGGGGGCTGAGGACAGCACAGAGCTCTGCCAAGCGTGGATCCAGCACCGGCCTCTGCCTCAGTGGGGCCACAGAACTGCCCTCAGGAGCTTCACTTTCACAGCAGAGCGGGTTTCTCATCCCTTCCCCAATATGGAAGACAGTTTTTCTAAACAATCCTGACAAAGTTTCTCTTTAATCTCTCTGACAAAGAACAATACTAAAGTCATTCCAGCCCCACTGGCACATCAGGAGGTGGCCTTCTCCACCTCCACCAGAAATAAAGCTCATCCCAATTCAGTAACACATTAGACTTGACACTGTCAACGAGGGCTGAATCACATGCAGGGAGTGCACAAATCACACCTTGAGCTCTCTCTCATGGCAGACCAGAGTGCTCTGCTGCTGCCAGAGATCTGAGAATTAAAACTAAATGCCTAGCTCACCTTGTCCCACTCACAGCTAAATGCCAGGACATGCCCATGACACCACACACAAGGCAACACTTGCACCAGCTCAGCAGGGCATGGAGGGAACCTGCCAGCACACCCCACCTGGTTGCTTCCCCCGGTCCCTCACACCCCTGTCCCTCACACCCATGTCCCTCACACCCCCTGTCCCCTCACTCCCACCCCGGTCCCTCACACCCCTGTCCCTCACACCGCTGTCCCCTCACACCCATGCCCCTCACACCCCCTGTCCCTCACACCCCCTTACCCCTCACACCCCTGTCCCTCACACCCCTGCCCCTCACACCCCGGTCCCTCACACCCCTGCCCCTCACACCCCTGCCCCTCACACCCCTGCCCCTCATACCCATACCCCTCACACCCCTGCCCCTCACACCCCTGCCCCTCACACCCCTCACACCCCCTGTCCCTCACACCCCTGTCCCTCACACCCCTCACACCCCTGCCCCTCACACCCCTGTCCCTCACACCCCCGGTCGCTCACACCCCTGTCCCTCACACCCATACCCCTCACACCCCTGCCCCTCACACCCCTGCCCCTCACACCCCTGCCCCTCACACCCCTGTCCCCTCACACCCCTGTCCCCTCACACCCCTGCCCCTCACACCCCTGCCCCTCACACCCCGGTCCCTCACACCCCTGTCCCTCACACCCCTGTCCCTCACACCCCTGTCCCTCACACCCCTGCCCCTCACACCCCGGTCCCTCACACCCCTGTCCCTCACACCCCCCACACCCCTGTCCCTCACACCCCTGCCCCTCACACCCATTTCCCTCACACCCCCGCCCCTCACACCCCTGTCCCTCACGACCCCACTCACCTCGCGCGCGGCCCCACTCGCGCAGCCGCCCCCCCCCTCACCGTCACCGTCACCGCGCACGCCCTGACGCCACCGCACCCCGCGCGCCGCGCGCAGCCAATCACCGCCGCCGCCGGGGAGCCTCGCGCCCGCGTCACCACGGCAACGGCCCCGCCCCAACCCCCCCCACCTTCCCGCGCCGCAGCGCCCTCTGGCGGGAGCCGCCCGCACTGCGCCCCGCGCCGGGAGCGGGGCATCATGGGAAGTGTAGGCGCTGCGGGCTCCGCGGCCGGGCCGCCCAACATGGCGGCGCCGCCGCCTCAGGGTGTTTTGTGCGCCCCAGAGGAGCCCAAGCGCTGCCAGTGACCCCCCTGGCGCCTCGATGGAAGACAATAACCCAGCCTCGAGGGACCCCTCGAGGGACCCCACGCGGGACAGGGCTCAGGGCCACCCCGCGGTGTCCCAGCGCAGAGGCGATGCATTTGACCCGCACTGCCCTGCCCGTGCCCCCGCTGTGCGTCAGCGTGTGGGCACACTGAGCGCTTTGTCCCGGGTCCCTTCGGCCACGGTGGAAAAAAACTGAGAGAGAGAAACCCTGTGAGACCGTTCGAGGCCCGGGAGGAAACAGATCATAATCTCTCTAACGAACTGAGCTCATCTGCGAATGCAGAGATGGAGTCGCTCCCCCGGGCCTGTTCCAGAGGCGACCCTGGCTCTATACCCCGGGCTATAAACACCCCAAAGGCACAGCTGGCTGGACTGTATTTATACATAGGTGCTTGAAAAATTAACCCAAATTATGGTGTGTTATTGGGGCTTTTTTGTTTTGTTCTGTCCCTCTTGGCCCTCCACACACCAAGCAAGAATCTGCTGGTGGGGCCACTTTTCACAGGTTGTGGCTGATTCCTTTCAAAGGGCTCTTTCACACACAAGAAGGGAAATCCAAACCCTGCCCTGCCAAGGAAAGGGGGCTGGTGCCTGCGGGGCCGCTAGTGCATAGGGCAGGAGGTCTGTGGCCAGGGGCTCCAAAAGCTTTATTGGTTATTAGTTTCTGCTAAGTGACTCCAGTACTACCCACCACAGCCAGGGAACACAGTGGTAGCTGTAGTTAGGGACACCTGATGTGGTGTGGGGGTGACAAGAAAGCCCTGCTTGGTCAGTCCAGGTGTCCATGGCTGGTGACAAAGCCCCACACCCTGGAGCACAGTGAGTGATGCAGAAGGTTGTTGTAGAAACCAAGAGGGAACTGCAGCCCTGGGCCACAGGGTCCTGA